ATTTAATTTTTCTAAAGATTTTACTGGGTCAGTGCAATCCTGAACCATTAGAAGATTGATACAACCTTGAACCATTTTATACAGTTTTGTTCACACTAATCGTACAATTCTGAACCTTCGCTCAGTTGCCAAATGTAAATTAAGTATGAAATCTACGATTTAGTGATACGAGAATAATCATAAAATTTAACTGTTTATATAATTCTAAACTCTGAATTGAAATTTAAAATAATTTAAGTTGGATTATGTAAACACATTAAAATCACTCTTGTGACTAGGGCAGTTTGGGTCGAGATATTAAGAGCAAACTAGATATATGGATGTATTTTCTCATAAATAGGAAATCCGATAAAAAAAACTTTTTAAATAAAATACTTACAATCTACGATTTTTCCTTACCTTTGTAATTAAAAAAAATTAACAGGTGAGATAAAAAATTATTTTTTGACATTTTACAATAAACCAGATTTACAACGCTTTCCTATAAAAATCTTACCCCCCACCATCCCATAGAGGGAGAGTGGGGGTGACATTCCCAAAATATTAGGTTAAAACTTTTTAAATAAAACAGTTTGAATTCCAAAATTTGGTCAAAATGATAGGGGTAAATTTAAAAAAAAAAAAAGTTGAAACTTATGTCTTTTACAAATGTACCAAAAATAAGAGTTTTATCTCCTCTGTGATGATTTTTATAAATAATATCAAGTTGTTTGTTGCCGTTCATTCTGATAATCAAAATTTTATTTGGAATCATACCACATATGGCTGACAATTTAAAAACTTACAAAAACTTATATCTCATGCATGAACTGGATGTAGGAAAAAAATTAAAATCTGGGAACTTGCAAGATGTCTTGGGGCTCATTTAGCTATTCCTATTGACCGGAAATAGATCTTAAGTCGCTTATTTTAAATACGGCATCCTATTATTACAAATTTTAATTTTACTTCAGATTCTGGGCAGGTTTTATGTATCATATCATATGGCTAAGTCAGAGCGATTTTACATATTTTAGTTTTTACATCAAAAATGATGTTGGTAAGCCCTCATACAATTATCAGTTAGTCCTATAAAGAAGTCCTTATATCTACTTCGGGTTTAATTCCTTGGGTTTAAGGTTTAAAATGAGATTAAGAAAACTGCCAAAAATCGATTTTTCAAATGGAACAACCCATTTTTCTTATTTTGTAGTATTTAGCATCTAAAATAAAGGTAACCTTGTATAAAGTCGTCTACAGGGTGGTCCGTTAATAATGAGATTCAGAGCTACTTTATAAAAGTATTGCGATATAACACAATTTACCTTAGTTCAATTTTTGATATTAAAGAATATACATAGTGTTAAAATAGATACATTTATATCAGTATTTTTGATTGAAATATTTGACACTTCATTTTATTAAGTATCTACTTAACACCTTATATCTTCAATATCCAGAATTGAACAAAGGTAAATTTTTATATCGCAAGATTTTTATGCAAGGAATTTATAGATGTTCTGTGTCCCATTGTTAACGGACCATCTTGTAGACAACCTTATTTTCCATACTTTATTTTCGATACTAAATACTATAAAATGAGAAAAATGTGAATTTCCATAAAAACATTTTTTTTGTAGTTTTCTCAATCTTATTATAAACCTTATTTTTGAACAGCCTGCATGATTAGTTGTCTAAATATAAAAAATCTATTAATGAGATTTTTTAACAAGGAATCCAACCCAAATTAACCAATAAGATCTCTGGTCCTCTCATTTCTTCTTAATCTACTTTGGACCACTTTAAGATATGGACAATATTTGGAAATAAAACAATATTATTTTTGAAATAGGTAAGATACGCAGCTTTTAGTTCTTACATGTCAAGTCAGCGGCGGTAAGTCCCCAAACACAAATACGTCGAAATTAACAGTAGAGTATTTACAAAAGTTCAAGCATATACAGTGTGTCCACTTAAGTTCGCAGCATATGGGAAACTTTTTTATTATTAACTTTATGAAAAAAGTTTTTCTTCACAAAAAGTTCTGCAACTATCAGATATATTTTTACAATAGTATACGAGATATATCAAATAATATGAATTTAGCTGTAAAATAAAGTACCTTTATTTTTGATAAATCACGTATACGACTGATAAAATTTGATATTTGATGGTTGCATTTTACGTTTTAGACCATGCTCGACTTTTTATGAAAAATAACTTTTTTCATAAAATTAGTAATAAAAAAGGTTTCTGCATATAGTAAGACGAGGATGGTGTCAAACCTAAAATACTACCATCAGATATTAAATTTTATCAGTCGTATACGAGGTTTGTCAAAAATAAAGATATTTTACTCTTCAGCAAAATTACCTATTTGACATATCTCGTATACTACTGTAAAAATTTAATATATCATAGTTGCATTTTAGGTTTCAGACCACTTCGACCTTTTTATGAAAAATAACTAAATGAAAATATTTTTTCCTTCGACCACTTAGGAAAGTGACACATATCACACTATATAGTCCTATGGAAAGTGCCCTATATCACACGCGTATGAATAGGAATTTACTTTCCACCCGTGTACGAATATGCAACTTTCCGCAGCAGCTGTCACAAAATGTCAAACACATCATTTCTATTTTGATCTATGTAATGTCCATATTAATACTAAAATCGATATTATGATTAAATTATTAAAATTGACGATTAACTTAGATCCTAGATATTTATTTTTAACAATTATTAAAATAACTACATACATCTCATTATTTTGGCTTTTTATTCTGTTTAAACTTAAAATCGAATTAAAAATGCATTTGACATAAGACCTATTAGCTCAGGTTTTAGGGTAGTTGCAATTTGAACTTTGGCTTACACGACGGGTCCGCGGGCCCGCGTTCAAAACTTGGTGGTTGCAGAATTTTTTTTTGTTTTTTAATTTTTGTTTCGAAAAATATGAAAATTACATAAATACAATTATTGTTGATTATTTTTTTAAATACATTTTAATTATTATAATAATAACCTGGTTCTACATTTTTTGATGAAATTATTTTGTGGTCGTAGGAAAAATATTGTACATCACTTGTGTGAAAAGTAATTTTCCACACTGGTGTGATAGTCGCACTCGGCTTGTGCCTCGTGTGACAATATTTTCCACTCGTGTGAAAAATGTCACTTTCCACACACGTAATGTAATATACTATACTTGTTTCTTTCGACTTACTTCTGTTTTGAATGATTCCTACAAAACGGAAAGCACATAAAATGTTTGTAAATACGCAATGTTGCCACATTCACTGGCTCAAGATGATACGGAATTACTTTCAATACGTATATATAATTATATACCGCAAATACCTACCTAAGCGCCGCAAACGTCAAATTGTTGAACTACATATTGGAGTTTCGTATATTCCTGAACCAATAAAAAAGGGGGAATATCCGGCAATGTGTTGGGCGCGAAGATTTGAAAACATAATTTACAGATTCCTTTATTATGGAACTATTACAATCAAGTTTCATTTTAAGCATAGAGTTGGTATTAAATAATTTAACACAGCAAAACAAACTTGAACCAATATACTGGTTCAGGTTTGTGATGGTGGTTCAAGTTTGTTAACCCAAGTTACTACTTCTGGTTCAGGTTTGGATGGTTACCGTAAATATATATATATATATATATATATATATATATAAATTTTGTTTAGAATTGCTAACCCTACAATTCTCTATCTGGAGATCGGAAGGTCTCAGGATCGAATCTCACCGTTGGCCGGGATTTTTTTATTTAATTTAATTATTTAAAATTAATTCTGATGCCTTGGTTGGATTCCCCACTCGACCATTCACTGTTGGGTTCTAATTAACAGTGCTGTTCCTAAAGTGGCGCAAGGAAACAGTAACAAGGCCTGTCTGTAGGGGTGTATGAGTATTAGAGTACTAATAATTCTACACTATGGAGTATTAGACTACTAGTACAATCCATAACCTACATAGAACACTAGGCTAATGATCTTAGATGTTGAAGCCGTACACTAAAAAAAAAAAAAAAAAATTCTCTATCTGTGTTTGCCGACTGGGAAAATAAATACCGAAAATCGTCACTGTCTCCTTGACTATAAAGTTAGTAGATGATGATCACCATCAAGACTTCACAACAAATACACTTTTATCAATGACTAGTTGGGGTCGTGGGTGAATAGTATTCAAATCTACCAGTATTTTTCTACTTTTCGTGAGATTTACAAGGCGATTAAGTGAGAAAAAACAAATTTTAACGGTTGTCCAGACAATGAAATAGACTATACTCCGAAATTTATCTTGCTCTCTTTTATATGTATTTGAAATCTCAAGAAAATCGGTGATGAAAAAAAAAATTAATGCAGTATTTTTTGTTTCTTGAGGAGTTTTTAATTTTATTGAGACTATGAGATAGATAGAAAATAACTCGTAGATTCCAAAAATGAAATCAATTTTTGGATATCTCCAGCCGTTTTCGAGTTATTGTCGAAAATTTAGTCTGTTTTTTGTCCCACATTTTTTTTATTATTATTATTTCACAAAGTTTGCTTTGCTCTATAAGTTTTATGTTATAGTTGCTGAAAAATGTACAGGGCGTTAAAAAAATTATTAGCCGAAAAAAGCGAAAATAAATAACAGTTATAGGTAGAAAGCAACAGACTACACTCCAACATTAATCTTGCTCCATTTTTTTATTCATACTTAAATTTTCGAGAAAATTGGAGACAAAAAACATTTTTTTGGTGTGTCAGGAAGGATTTTGGAATTTTGATTTACTTGAAAATATGCATACAGATAGGGAATCTTTGTAGAATTCAAAAATCTAATCAGTTCTTTGATATCTCAATCAATTTTAGAGTTATTGATAAAAATGTACAATCTTATTGTGTAATGTAATGGTCTATGCTTGATCCAGTGTTAATAAATCAGTAATCAATAACACTAATAGTTCAGTTAAACGATATTTAAAGGGAAAACAAGAACTTTTATTTTCTCTTCGCAATGCTGTACAAGTTAAATAAATTTCTGGTACAAAATAGAATACAATCTCTTTTATGTAAATTAATAAAAATACAATAATTGAAATTAATAAATAAATACAAATAATAATTTCCATCGTCTTTATCTCTCTCTGTACCACCTCCCTCGAGGTTTCCTCAACATCCTGGGAGATTTCGGCGAACCCGGCATGCATCTTTGTTTTTTAATTGTCCTTTTCGGCGTTATTATAATTTTTTTACAGAGTTTCTTACTGTCTAACTTCTGAACACACACGTAAGGTTGCAACATTTCCCTATTATTAGTTATTATTTTGTCTTTATCACTTTTGTTCACACTGTTTTTTTGACATTCGATATTTGACCGCAAGATATTTTTCTCCGGTACTTTTTGTTTAGGGACGTTCCTTTTAGGCCGTTCTTCTTTTTTCTCATTTGCAAAGTTGGGTTCTTTTTCTGGTTCTTCCACATCATCTTCATCTTCGGTGTCGTTGACACTGCCGGAATCTATGGTGCTTTCGATATCGTCCTCTTTTTCTTTATTTTGTTCCTTTTTCGTTGACGGTTTTTTACTTTTGTTCGGCCAACCTAAAAGACAAAAAGAATTAACAACAATTATTATGATTATAGAGAAACATCGAGGTTGAGTTGAGTTCCAAATGGTAGGATATGAAATAGCTTTCTTTTTTGTTTATTATTATTATTATTATTATTATTACAATTTCACACATTGAGTGCTGTAATAAACCTAAACTAAACTCAAAAAAAATAATGATTGAGAGTGAAAGCAGGTAGAAATACGACCAAATCGGAGGCGTGCTTATTATTTTTGAGAGGGTACAATTATTTAAAATATTCATACAATTTCTTTTATTTATTTCATGAAAACTTTGCAATATCGTAATTTACCTAATCGTTGTAGTCATTAGTGGGGCTTTATGAAAACGGAGTAATAATTGTGGTAATTATAGTAGGAACCAAATAAATTAAGAATATTAATAAAAATCACAATATATATTTCAAATTAAAAATAAGAAAGATACCTAATCAGGGGTTGGTTTGGTGACAGAAACAATATTATCAATTTTACTATTTTAATAATGAATTTAACTTTATTTCACAAATTAACGTATATTTATATATTATGTCGCGGCCGAAGTCAGTAAGGAACTGTCTCTTAAGTTTCTTCTTGGGTTACACATACAGAAGTATTACTTAAATTTTAAATTAAAATCATAATGACGGATATTGCATATCCAATGCAATTGATATTTTTATTTTGTTTTGTTTAGTTATTTTTAAATTTTTATATTTTTTAATCTTTTTATATTATATTTAGTTTAGTGGTACGGTGGTAACCTTAATACTGTAATTCCACGACTTAACTCCATTTCATCCACTGCGAATTTTTTATATTTGTCTCTGTGTAATTTTGTTAACTGAAGTAGTTCTGCCTTTAAACTATCTTTTTTATATTGGATGTTTTTATTAATTAACCATTCTTGAATTGCTCGTTTTTTCCATGATTGTTTCGGTAATGATTCTAAATACCGACTATGATATGGGGCATTGTCCATGACGACGACAGACCCAGGTTCCACAAGTTGAATGATGCCTTCAAACCATTTTTCAAACACCTCCGCATTTATCTCTTCATGATAGTCGCCTGTTTTCTTGGATTTAAATATTAATTCACCATTTGGTAAAAATCCACTGTCGCTTCCTATATGCGTAACTATCAGACGACTACCTTTTCCAGACGGCTTGTCGTGCACTTGTTATATGACCATCCTGCCATACTTTTTTGACCGTATGTCCTTGGTTAACCCACGTCTCATCCATATAGTAAATTTTTTTTTTGATATTCCGAAATTCCTCAATTTTTCGGAGATAATTTCTTCTCCATACTATTATTTCCTGACGTTCAATGAGAATGCTTTTCCTGTCGACTTTTCCGTACGTAAATTTCATTTCGTGTAAAATTTTCCTCAAAGTTTCTTTACTCATTTGTGGGACCAATTCATGATCGCTAACTGCCTCCAGAACTTTTTGCAAAGTGGGCAGCTCATTTCTGAAAAAGAAACTGTGAATAGTTGTGCGTATACTGTTTTTGGCTTCTTCATCAACTGTGATTTTTTTTCTTCCGCTACTAGTTTTTGGCGTTTGTACTTCCCCATGAATTTTGTTTTCTCTTAGTATTTTGTAAACTGATGATTTTGGTACACCCGTATAATCAGAGCACATATCAACTAATTTATCTTTTGTAATTGTGGAAGTTAATGATGTTGGAACGCCCGGTTGGTTATTTGGAGGTACATCCTTAGAATTACAGCACATATGCACTAAGTTATCTTTTTGTCGCTGATGATCTCTTTCAAGACATTGAAATACTCGAAGTACAATTTGTTTTTCACTTAGCGACCGAGACTTCGACCGTTTTACCTTTTTCGACGTTGAAGGCCCTTCAATGTCTTCCATTTTTTGCATAGTTTTAGAACGGTGTAGAAATATTATTATTTAATGTTTAAACACTTATTAGCACTAATATTTTCACGTCGATTACTTAATAACTTAACTGTAAAACTTACAATTCACACCGTATAATTCAAAACCCGATGTTACGCTCGTGGTTAGAAATACACTACTGAGAACGTCGTCGACGAGATGGATTTTACGCGTAACAGACAAAGACACAAATATCGCTCCGTACACCGATGCCATTAGTTGTAACAAATACTGAACAATCCATAAAATAATTAATTTTAAATGATCAAGAAATGTATAAGTATTACTCATTACTGATTTTTGTTATAATTAATATCTTTTATTAGTACTATGATTGTATATTATCTATAATTTGCCACAACTTACAACTCTACTACTTACTCTATTTTGATTCTGCTAAAAACTAGTAAGGTAAAATTGAGATATGACAACACGGTTCACTCTCAATCATTATTTGTTTGAGTAAATAAAGACACAGACTAGAAAAGCTTCAAAATTAACCTAGAAGAACTAATTGAACAATTAGATCAAGAAGTTCAATTTAATGTCAAAAATATCCAACAAGCAATATGGGAAAACACTGCAGAAATTAAATGCATAGTACAAGGTAATAATTATCCAACAGAGATTAGAAGTATTATCCCAGAAAAAAGAACAGTTAATAGAAAATGGCAACAGTCTAGAGCACCAGGTGATAAAACAACTTTCAACAATGCAACAAAACAGATAAAATAAGAAATAAGGCGTATAAAAATAAGTCAATTGACGAATCCTTATTTAATAGTGAATTAACTAACGATAAAAGTATTAATTATTTACTCTGGAAAGCTACCAAACGATTAAAAAAACCTACTTATACATAACCCACCAATACGAAATAGAGATAAAAACTGGACTCGAAACAATTTCCAAAAAGGAAACAGATTTGCAGTACCTTCCGACCCCCAATAATGGTGAAAATCTTCAATTTTGGATGAAACTAGCAAAAGAAGATCTACCTCCCTAAAAGAAGTTTATATTTCTGGAACTGATTCTTTAGCAATAAACTGTGACTCCAAAAATAATATTGACTGACACTGACAGCAGCAACCAAAATATCAGGTGCGTTTTAATCATCCGCTTCTGCTTCCGGAATTTTCAGTTTAGTCGTTTTAACCTGTCAGATTAAAACAAGAAAACCGACAATTCCAAAGCAGAAGCGGATGATTAAAACGTACCTATTACAAATATTGCGCCAAGATGTAGGCAAAACGTAATAAAGGATCAAAATGGCCATTCTCCGTATAGTAAAAGAAAATCAAAGTATGTGGCCAATACTGATTGATACCTATACTGGGCTATTACTGTCAGTCGGTCATGGTTACGGTGAGATAAAGTGTTTGTTTACTTCCGCAAATTGCTATGGTAATGCATGACTTTAGTGACGGTTGGTGATGATTAAATTACCTTACCTGTTTTATTCAACTTTTTTCTCCTTATTCCGGGCTTCCTAATTATCGGCCCGTTGAAAAACTTCCTGCAAGTTTTCTCAGTTTCTTTAGAGTTATTCTCCTCATATAATCCCAAAATATCTGTAAGCGTAGTTTTGCTCTTAATGAAATCTACTATATTTTCGTCGGCATATTCTATTTCGTAATCGTCCAGATCCTCGTCAATCATCGAATCCAATTCTTCGTCAATTTGCCGGGCAATGGTGTAGTAATCAATTCGAGCTTTAGTTTTCCTTGGAGACGTTTTAGGTTTTTCAGACGATGGAGGTATTGCTTGGACTCTAAGAGCTGGAGGAGTTGACAATAGAAGTTTCGGTATGATCTGCAATAAAAACGGTTAACGAAGTCTTAGGGAACTTATGAAATACATTTAAAACATATAGGACAAGCAATAATGATTGTTTTGACCTTAATTCAAAAATTATTAAATATTTGAAATATATTTTATCTGATCCTCTTACTGATCTTATCAATCGGTGTATAGATAAAATACTAGCAACTAATTTAAATCCTATAGAAAATCTAATCAATCTGGACAGTTTTCAATTAAAGAAGTAAGTTTTGTTCAGGTCCAGGAAGTTATTAATAACTTAAAAAATAAGAATAGGTGTCATATATGTGCTAAAGCGTTGGTCTCTTGTGCTCGTGGCTCATTCAGGTGAAGACCATCAATAGAGAGAGAAGAAGAAAGGGAAGAAGAGCGCGCCATTCGGTAAAGCATGAGCGATGACAAAGGTCACCTTATTTTCGAATCCTGTATAACAATTATTAAAACTACCAAATAAAATGTTTTAAAGTACATTACATGAGTAATCTTTTACAATAGGTGAACTATTTTTGGCACTGCTTATAAACCAATGCTTCCCGCAGAATGTTTTTCCAGATATACTTAAGGTGGCTGTTGTAGTACCATTATTTAAAAAAGGCGATCAAGACAGACTTGGCAGCTACCGACTAATATCTCTTCTTCCAATAATATCCAAAGTTGTAGAAAAATTTATGTAATTTCAGATTGTTAGTTTCTTTTTGGAAAATAACGATCTTTTTAGTTTTAGGCAAAATAAAGACACTTCCATGGATATTCTTCATCTAGTACAAAGTATATTGGACACTTTCCATAACTATCAATACAACACGGTCCTGTTTTGTGATTTAAGCAAGGCCTTCGATTGTGTAGATCACGAAATCTTCTTAGAGAACATGAGATTTTACAATTTTTGCCCAAATAGTATCAACCTTCTAGAGTCCATACCTTGAGGCGCCAGCGTGTGTGCGCTATGCTGGTGTAAAATCGGCGAACTGATAAACAGGTATTGGGGTACCCCAAGGCTCGATTTTGGGGCCCATACTTTTTCTAATATACATAAATATAATTAACTATTTATTGATCATCAGTTTCTGTATGTGCTGATGCAATAGAGGCCTTTCTAGAAGGTAACTATAGTTGCGCAGGAGTTAGCCCAAAACTGGTTCAACTCTAATAAACTACTTCTAAATATTGAAAAAACAACAAAGTTGGTCTTTTCAATGAGAGCTCCACCAGACAAATTCCAACATAAATAGTGCCAGATTTCTTGGAGTGACCATTGATCCTAAATTGCAATGGAACGTAGATATAAACACGGTATCTTATACCTTTTTCTTTTCAGAAATCTAGCTCTAATAAGATATCACAACCTGTATTAATACCAGCCTACTTTGCAACTATCCACGTTCACTTTGCATATACAATCATTGCCTGGGGACATGTAGGTGATATTTGACGTGTTTTTGGCATGTAGAGAAAAGCAGTAAGGGTTAAGATTTCAGGGAAGATTGTAGAATGGCTTTCAGAAATCTGGGTATATTGACGGTTCATTCTGTTTATATCTTGGAGAACCTGCTCTACATTAAGATTAATAGATAAATAGATTAATTGATACTTATTCTACTTTGTATTTTAACCCTTTCAATTATATTATAATAAAATAAAATTCTTGTCATTTATTTGCCAGCGCAACTGTCTAGGGACTTGAAAGATTGTAATTCATTAGCAAGTTAAAAAAAATAAGGAATTTTAGTAAAACTGATACTTAATTTTTTTATTCTTCTTTTTTTAATATTTGATCGGTACAGGGGGAAAACGGGCCAAGTCAATTTTTAGCAAAGTTGAAATATTGACGTCACTCGATAGAAAATACGTTTAATTTTGTTCTAAAAATATTGTCCACTGCAAGAACACGCTAAGTAAAAAAAATATTAAATACGAAAAATATCCCGTACAGGGGAATAACGTGATACGTCCGTGTGATACCAAGCAAAAACGGACCAAGTCGCAATTTTCGCATCTCTTCGGTAGAGCCGTGGTCTAATCGTTTTTATGCTAATCAGTCAATGTCAGTCAAGATTATTTATGTTTTTTATTGGCAAACATTATTGAAACATTTTTCTACCATGGAAAGTGATTTAAGTGATTGTGGGGGTGTGCAGATGGTGTCTTCTACAAAAAAGGCCAAAACATGGAAGATTAATAGATGTCAATAAAAAACTGAAGGTGCAAAACCATGAAATTGGTAGAGAATGCGACTGCAAACGTTTACAATGCTTCAGAAAGATTCCTGTGGAGGGTAAGCAAATTATTATAAGATTTTTTACATATCGAGCGTTTTTTTATCTACATCGGACACATCTGTCCCATTACATTTACGTATACTGAATCACATGATCAAAGATTTACTACTTACTACATCTCAGATGCATCCGATGTGGATTCTCAAACGCGGCATCATTAGTATTGTTCCAGTCAAAAATAAACGACCTTGGCTGGATGAAGAAAATGCTCATTTAAGAGATGCTGTAGCTCTCTATAAGATTAGATATTTATGTGAAAATAATTTTACGGAATTAAAGGTGTGTCGAGATGAGTTTATAGCTTTACATGACATCACCAGACGTAGAATTAAGTATTTACTTATATCTTTGAAAAGTACTGGCATGCCTCCAACCGATAAAAGAGGAAAACACTCAAATAGACCATTAAAACTGTCTGATGATATTCGTAATAGAATTAAAGAGCATATATCATCAGTCATTATAGTACCAAAGGCTCTCAGAAAAAATATTTGCCTGTAGAGCTCAACATTAAAAAAAAATGTGGAAAATGTTTAAAAAGATGCATCCCGGCAACCAAGTATCATACGAGATCTACAGAACCATTATAACCACAGATTTTAATATAGTTTTTGGTTACCCACGAACAGACACGTGCAGCACATGTGATGAGTACCTAGCTAAAATGAAATGTCTGGAGCATGAAAACCAAAAACTAGATCAAACAAAGAGGGAAGACAACAGCTGAAATAAAACAACTGACCACATCACATGACCTGCATTTATGTAAAGCACAATCATTTTATTCAATTAAAAAGCAATCAAAGCTTTCAAGTCGTAAATCAAACGTAAAAGAGTCAATCTGTATAGACTTCGGTAAAAGTTTTCCTATCCCCAAGATTCCTACTAGGAATCCCGACACCCGTTAATTTTTGTACCCGGGTACCCGACTTCAATACCCGGGTATTACCCATTACCCGTTAACGTACCCGTTAACGCTGCAAATGCTCGTTGAGACCCGTTAACACCCGTTGGGACCCGTTAAACTCCGTCGTAAAAACCATCACGAATTTGTCTGCTGATGTCTGAAAGTGAAATTATTGGTCTTCCCACCAAATATGCATTCGCCCAGCATGCAATAGAAAACTGAAATGGAATGTGAGGGGAAGGAAGTTTTTACGATTTACGTTGCACGCCCAGCGCAATCGCTACTTATTCGGCAGTTTTGTCGCATTATTTGTGCCGGTTATATTTATTTGCGTAATTTATTATGGTGCGGGCTAAAAGGTCTTTGGTGTGGGATCACTTAACAAAAAATACATTCGTCGGCGAACACGAAAGTGAAATTAAAGTGCAGTGCAAGTATTGCGACGGTACTTTGCATTATGACGGATCGACGAGCTCAATGATGAAACATTTACGATCGCAGCACAAAAATCTTCAACTGCAGGATGTTGACATCGAGAACGCAGGGCCTTCGGGCTCATCCCTTTCTACACCTAAAAGGCAAAAACTCACTGATATGGGGATAACTACTGAACGGCCGTGTAACAACACTCGAAAAGGTCAGATAACAGACAAGTTGGTATCAGTAATCATTGAAAACAATTTACCCATTCGTTTCTCTGAGTCAGAATCGTTTCGTGAGTTCATGAAATTTGTGGAACCAAACTATAAATGCCCTTGTGCAGAAACCATTAGGAATATTACTGAATCAAAATTTAATAATGTACAAAATGAAATCAGGAAAGAAATGGAATCTGTTCTATACGTTGCTATTACTACGGATGCATGGACGTCTATTTCAAACGATGCATTTCTTGCTGTTACTGCCTCTTACTTTAACAAAAATTGGGAACTCAGAAAGCTGGTTTTAGCAACTGTAAAGTTACAGCAACGACATACTGCTCAGTACCTGGCAGAAGAAATTGAACATGTAGTTACTGAATGGAATATTTCGGACAAAATATCTGCGATAGTACACGATAACGGTGCAAACATTGCCCACGTGGCAGAAATAGTTAACACTGAATATACAGATGTTTCTTGTGCAGCACATACATTGCAATTAGTGATCAATAAAGCAATGGGTACAGATAAGACTGATTCGCAGGCCAGTAGACTTGTGGGCCACTTTAGCCACAGTGTATTAGCTACTTCCGAACTGAAGAAGAAACAAAAACATTTTGAATCCGCCAAAGATGAAACGGGAGTTGAAGAAGAACCCTTGTCACTTATACAGTACTGTCGCACACGATGGAATTCTATATACCACATGCTGGAAAGACTACATAAATTGAGGTAAATTTTGTTTAAACTTTACAGAGTAAATGAAAATTATAATAAACATTTTTTTCTTCTGTTTAATTTAGATGGTCCGTGCGTGCTGTACTTGGTGATAGTAACGTAACAAAACGATCCGCAATGCACTTAGACCTGAAGGACGAAATGTGGTTGCTTATGGAAGAAATTTTACCTACGCTTAACCTTCTAAAAATCGCGAATACATTAGTTTGTGGAGAGAAGTATGTTACCATATCGGATGTTTTAAGTATTGTAGTGGCACTTTTTGACAAATTTTCAAACGACTCTGAAGACGACAGCGCTGTTTTAAAAGACTTTAAAAATGCTTTAATAACCGGATTAAATACACGTTTTATAAACAAAATTGAGGAAAGTAATAACCTATATCTAAAAGCCATGGCAGTTGATCCGAGATTTAAAGATATCAATTTTTTTTTCACTTTTGAGTTGCGTCAAAAAATTTATGCAGATATTCGCGAAGAAATTCAATCTAATAAAAATCGGGAACAGCCACATTTAGACCCAGAATACAAGAATGCAGAAGTCGGGGAAGAGGAGAAAGAAAAACAGCGGTGTGAAGAAAAAATGAAGACCAACAAAAAAGAACTTCAGGAATTATTTGGTAATTTTTAATTATTAATGCAGTTGAATTACTAATTTAATATGTACTTTCGCTTATTTAGGTTCTAGTTCAGAGAGTGAAGAGCAGGTACAGGATGATGAATACGAGCGGTTTCTTGCGGCAAAGAAAATTAAAAGGAGCGACGATCCCATTTCGTGGTGGCAAGTGAATGAAAAGAAATTTCCGGCTACAGCTTTTGTAGCCAAACGATATTTGGGAATACCTGCAACTTCAGTTGCGAGTGAGCGTCACTTTTCCGCCGCGGGTCGAATCGTTACCAAAAACAGAGCTCGTTTAAATCCCGAATTTTCACTAGTAATACCACTAGAGGTCAAAAAATTTCCTGATATTAATTTGACCTCGCGTGGTATTCGGTAAGAAAATTCCACGCCGAATTATGGTTGAAAATTAAATATTTTTAAAATTTATTTTTCGTTTCTCAACAATGCAAATTATTTTCTCCAAGTCACCAGTGAAACATAAAAGGTGTTGTCGCCTTGATTGTTGAGTTGTCATGGTAACTAAGTGAGACCCTAACCTCGAATATAATTTCAGTTTTGAAGTTGTCAAGCGGCCCGACGTAAAAAAATGTTTCGCTTCGGTCAAGAAAGCAAAGAAAATATTCGTCAGGAGATTGAGCAGTTGACACCCGCGAATACCAGAAAATTGAAGTCAAGCGTATGGAGGCAGTTTACAAACTTTTGCGCAGAAAAATCATATAATTTCGATAGAGCGGATATACCTGTGGAAGAACTGGCGCTTATTCTTGAATATTATGGGTTCAACATGCGAAAAAAGAATTCTGAAGATTACAAGGAGAGTGTCATCAAAGTTTTATGGAATTCCACAGCTAAGCAGTTGCAGGAATATTTTTTTGAAAAATATAATCGCAAATTCAATCCATTCTCGGACATAGAATTTTTGAACGCAAGAGCTGCAAAAAATGCTAAGCGCCGGAAGCTACAAATGGATCCAAGCAAGAGAAAGGAAAGTTCATCTGCACTATCAACAGACGAGCTGAGAAAAATCATTGAGATTTGGGACGAGAACACTCCGGAAGGACTGCAGAAAAAGTTTTAATATTCTTTTATTTTATAGTTACATCAGCTTACTACAAGTGGTAGAAAATTATAATTTTAGAGGTTTTTCGGAAAGCTGCATGAAGATTCACAACGCGTCATAGCTTTGGCTGCAATTATTTAGGCCTTCAAATTGCTTATTTCTACTCATTGTAGTTGCATGGGAATACCATTTGAAAATAGAAAATAGTATATTCTTTAATTTTACGTAAGTTTTGAATAACTACAAGTGGTAGAAAATTGTTTTTCTGCGTTTTTATTAACATGCGTTATGAGCGCTTTAAAATGGTATGAAATTCATAACCAGCGTCAGCAAGCATCAATCGTAGGAGGCTGTGATCATTGTATTTTGACAGTTCAAAACATTAAATAACTCGCGTTTTGTTGCGATAAAGAATAATGCACAGCAAGTAAAACCAACAAAATTACCTATTTGTTTAAAAATGAATCGATTTGAAAATCATACGCCATGCAAAATATGCGTGAAATCGTCTGATGTAATGATCAATCATTGCACCATGACTTACTTACTCGGATTAATAGAGGATTGTGGCTCCAACTTGAAAAACGAAAATTTGTTCCGAATTGTCCACGAATATTTGCACCTAAACTACGCAAAATTCAAAGTGCTGAATGGGAAAAAGGTGAATAAATTAGTGTCTAAATATTATATATATTTTATTAGACATAGACACATAATTCAAAGCATCCAAAGTCCTGCATTTTCGCCATTAAGAAGAAAAGAAGTGGCCGAAGAATATAGAAAACACCTTAGCATTGTAACTAAAATATATCAAAACTAAACCTCTTATGTGAACAAATAAAAACCAGTCTGTCAAAAATGGTCTGTTATTGTAAACGTCAAAAAATTTCCAGTATAATTCGCTGTTGGGTACCCCACGAGAAAAAAATTTCCACTAAAATACCTCCGTTGCCATGGTGATCTGTCAAAAACACGTATTTTGATTGGTTCAAAATTACAGGTGTGGAATTTTCTACAAAACTACTTTTTGTTAACAGGAATCGAGTGTATGCAGAATGCAAATAACATAACTAGGGTACTTCTTACATTCTTACTTCTTAGATTTGTTTGTTTTGTGTATACTGTATAGATGTAGAATTTTATATTTACGTTTGTGTCTTCATGGATATTAAATATTTATTTTCAATGATTGCGGAAATTATTACCCCGAATTAAAAACAAATGAAGCAGGTCTAAAGCTCTATAGATAAAAAAAGATAGAGGAGTTTAATGGGTCTTAAATTCTTAAATAATTATTAAAGGGCCTTAACGGGCTAACGGTTCGTAACGGGTTCCAACGGGTTCTAACGGGTAGCAAAATGTATAACCCGGACCCGTGGGCGTAACGGGTACCCGGGTACTCGTCGTCATTCCTAATTCCTACTAATGATGTATGTTGTCCAATTATTTGTTCAACGTTCACGTTCTCTCTGACTCAAGAAGTGTCTTTTATGTATACCCAGAAACCATCGCCAAAAAATGTAGTGATGATGTTTCTTCTCTACTGAATCACTTTGTATATAATTATCTTGATTTAAATGTAAGACATTTGGATTTGTTTTGTGATTCCTGCGGTGGACAAAACAAGAATTACACCTTTTTCCACTACTTGCATAATTTTGTTCACCAACAAAAAAAATCTGATGTGTCCAACACATGACTTTCCTATCTAGTTAACCTATTGCAGCATCTCTAAAAATGTTTAGATAAACTAAATGTATACATTTTCCACATACATCTACTTCGAAACATTTTTCTATAGATATTCATTGAAAACGAAAATACTGAAAAATTTAAATTTAGCACTTTTCCTCCAATTTTTCCATTACGGTCCATTTTAGAAAAGTCATTTAAAAACAAAAATTATAGAGATCGATATCGCAAACAACTTTTAGTTTAACAATTTTCTTAAAAATCAGAATTTTGCACATTTTGTCAAATTTCTCGAATACGGACCATTTCAGGAAAATTTGACATGTAACAAAAATTATAGATAATGATATTAGAAGTAACTTTTATTTGAAGAAATTTCTTCTCCAAACTTAAATAACAGATATATTCCATAAAATATAAAAATGACCACCTATAAAGTACCCCCCCAGATGTTCAGACTCTGCCCAAAATCTAATCAGTTCACCTCAGGTCGAAATAAAACTTAAGTTTAAAATTTAATGTTTTTTCCTTTATCCGTTTTTGAGTTTTCTTCAAAATTCGAAATTTACACATTTTCTCAAATATCTCGAATACGGTCCATTTTAGAGAAATTATGTATATAATAAAAATGATAGAGAATTATATTACAAACAACTTTTATTTGAACAATTTTTATAAAAAATTATTTTTTTTACATTTTGTCAAATTTCTCGAATACGGACCATTTTCGGAAAATTTTGCATAAAACAAAAATTATAGAAGTAACTTTTCTTTGAAGAAATTTCTTCTCCAAACGTAAATAACAGATATATTCCATAAAATATAAAAATGACCACCTATAAAGTACCCCCCCAGATGTTCCGACTCTGCCCAAAATCTAATCAGCTCATTGGACGCTGAAACAAAGCTTAAGTTTAAAATTTGGTATTTTTCTGTTTATCGGTTCATGAGTTATGCGACACACACACACACACACACACACGCACACGCACACCCACACACACGCACACGCACACGCACACGCACACACACACACACACACACACACACACACATAATCGCGAAAATAGTCAAAACGGATTCAGGGGACCTCAAAACGTAAAAATCCGTCGAAAACTCGAGGTCGAAAAAAATCATGATTCCTATACTTTCCTTATATCTGTATACAGATAGGAAAGTAAAAAGGTTTGATTCTGTACGAGTTACTTTCCTTATTAGAGGCCATTCTTATATGGAAAATGATAAGAATATGGGAATCATCAATCAGAAAGTCAGAGTTGAAACTGTGAAGGAATTATGTGACCTCATCCAATGTTCCAGAAAAAAACCTTCGCCCTTTGTAGTGAAACATATTTCAGAAGACAATCAACACATTTTTAAAAAGTGGACCGAACACTTGAATAAATTCTACAAAAAAACTATCTTTTCCTACGACCACTTAGGAAAGTGACACATATCACACTATATAGACCTATGGAAAGTGCCCTATATCACACGCGTATGAATAAGAATTTACTTTCCACCCAAGTGAGAATATGCTACTTTCCGCAGTAGCTGTCAGAAAATGTCAAACACATAATTTCTATTTTGATCTATGTAATGTCCATATTAATACTAAAATCGATATGATTGTTAAATTATTGTAAATTAGATCCTAGATATTTATCTTTAACAATTATTTTTAAAATAATTTTAAAATAACTAAGATATATTTGCTTTTTATTCTGGTTAAACACATAAGCGATTAGATCAATCAATTACCGTAAGGCCTGTTAGCTCAGTTGGTTAGAGCATCAACTTTGCAATTTGAGACCGTCCAACGACCGCGATCGAATCCTGGCTGTGCCAGAATTTTTTTTTTATTTTTTTTTTATTTTTTTTTATTTGTTTAGAAATTATAAAAATTTAATAAATACGATTATTGTTGATTATTTTTTTAAATACATTTTAATTATTATAATAATCTGGTTTTACATTTTTTGATGAAATTATTTTGTGGTCGTAGGAAAAATATTGTACATCACTTGTGTGAAAAGTGATTTTCCACACTCGTGTGATAGTCGCACTCGGCTTACGCCTCGTGCGACAATATTTCCCACTCGTGTGAAAAATGTCACTTTCCACACTCGTAATGTAATATACTATTTCAATTCAGCCAATAAGGCAATTCGAAGTTTCAAAAGAACACCCTAGGTTAATCAAGTATAGAGACACATACAATGGGACAAGGTTCTCTGCAGTTTTGATGAATAGAAAACCTATCGTTCTCAAAAATTTGGAGAGAAACAACCAATTTCTTTTTCCAGAAATATCTTACGCAGATAAACCTATACTCATTATACTGTTAGTGTGACTATTAAATTTTTCTTATTCACTCCAGGTCCAATACCAATTTCGGCGGAAAAATTTGCCAATTTGTAGAATTTTAAAAAGTTCTGTGGCAAAGCTCAAGATTATTTTTCCTCACTGATGCATAATTGACTGGAAATATGAAGGACTTCTTTCGTATAAAGAAACTTTCGAGTTAATAAAAAAATGTATTAATCTTCTTACACTAATCGAACTTTTAATTTTTTATTAGAATTTAGTTAAAGTACGGATTCACTATATTAGTTATCTTCTATATACAGTGCTTTTCAGATAAAATTATCCACCTTAAGTAACTTTTGAAGGACTGATTATTACAAAAAAACAAAAAAATACGTCAATTAATATTCGAAGGGGGAGATATCGTGCCATATTTAAGTTTGCTAAAAAAAGTCACCCTTTCACCCCTACTATCATCCCTTCAATTTTTTAAATGGCTTGCCCCATTTTTTTATCCAATTTTGGATTGCTCTCGTTTAACTGATTTCAAAAACGTATAAAACATGGGGATTAAAGTAATTAGTTTACGATCTACAGAATTTTAAATTAAAATAAAATTGAATTGTGCAAAACTTTTATTTTAATGATTTTGTCACAAGCGTTTCCAATGACAAAACGAATAATTCATTTTCAAAATTTATTATAAAAATTGTTCAAAATGTCCACCATTTACTTCCATACAATGGTATAACCTAGATTGAAAAGCCTCCCTGACATTACCAAACACGTGTGCATTTAAATGTAGGCATTCATACTCTATTCTTTGTCGTAAATCTTCTAAAGATTCTGGTTGGGTAGCATAAATTTTTGTTTTTAAATAACCCCATAAAAAGAAGTCTAGAGGTGATAAATCCGGTGATCTAGGTGGCCACTCCATCATCGAGCCTCTTCTACCTATCCAACTATTGGGGAAAGTTTCATTTAAAAATTGTCGTACTGGCAAAGCAAAATGTGGAGGCGCTCCATCCTGTTGAAAGACAAGCAAATCTTCAGAAAGATTATGATCATTTTCTATTATTGTTGTAATACGTGGATCAATTACTTCTCTCAATAACTCAAGATATGACTCTCCATTTAAGTTTCCGTCTAAAAAGAAAGGTCCGACTATGTGGTCACCTAGGATACCACACCATACATTTAACTTTTGAGGATTCTGTGTGTGGTATTCACGCACAACATGTGGATCACTCTCAGCCCAATATCTGCAATTATGTCTATTAACTAAACCATTAACTGAAAATGTGCATTCATCCGAAAAACAAAGGTTGTGCAACAAATGTGGATTGTCAGTCAAGCGCTGACTCAATAGTTCACAAAATTCAAGACGACGATCAAAATCATCTTCATACAACTCTTGAACCAATTTAATTTTGTATGGATGGTACTTATGCTTGTGTAATATTCGATAAACTGTGGAAGATGAAACACCTATTTCTCTGCTTATTGTTGTCAGTGACTGTGCTTGTTGATTTTTAAGACTTACTTGTCCTAAAACTGCGACTTCAATTGCTTCATTATTTACGAGTTCCAGTCGGTTATGTTTTTTATTGCCAACTGACCCGGTTGATGTAAATTTATGCATAAGATCAATTACATACTAATGAGTTGCATGACCTCCTTGGTGTGTTTCGTTGAAAATTCTAGCAGCAGCTCGTGCAGAACTGTTATTTTTGTAGTATAAACCTACAAGTTCAATTCTTTCTTGTAAACTGTAAACCATTTTCAAATCAAATAAATAACCTCATTCAAATCTCCAATACCTTTACCATGTATCTTAAAAAAATTCAACAAGTTTTTAGCGGTACGATTAAGGTATAATGTATTCTAAATCCAATTTTGCTGCAGTCAGTAAGATGAGATGTAAAAATTTGTCACTCAAATAATGGAACCCTGTAGATCATAAACTAATTATTTTAAACCCCATGTTTTATACATTTTTGAAATCAGTTAAACGAGAAAAATCCAAAAATGGATAAAAAAATGGGGGAAGCCATTTAAAAAAATTGAAGGGATGATAGTAGGGGTGAAAGGGTGACTTTTTCAACAAACTTAAATATGGTACGATATCTCCCCCTTCGAATATTAATTGACGTATTTTTTGTTTTTTGTAATAATCAGTCCTTCAAAAGTTACTTAAGGTGGATACTTTTATTTGAAAAGCACTGTATATAAAATTGTTTGTTCTGACTGACTGACTGACCTATCAGCGTACAGCCAAAACTACTGAGCCTAGAAAGCTGAAATTTGGAAGATATGTTTATTTTATAACATAAGCATCCGCTAAGAAAGGATTTTTAAAAATTTTAACTTTAAAGGGGGGAAATGGGAGGAAATGGGGGGTGGGAGCTTTTAATGAAACTCTTTGTTCTTTAAAGTTAGAAACATGAAAATTTAAATTACAGCTACTAAGCCTAAATAAATAATGACGTGTTTCAGGGTTTTTGGATTTTTCACATTTTAAGGGGGGGAAACGGAGGGTGAAAGTTTGTATAAGACTATCGATTTTTTTTGTTTCCTATGAAATTAGAAACATGAAAATTGGAATTGCAGCTACTGACTACAAATTATTAATTATGTGTTTCAGAGTTTTTCGATTTTCACATTTTAAAGGGGGAAATGGGGGGCCGAAAATTTATTTGGGAGTATCCATGTTTCTGGTTCTTTAAATTTAAAAACATGAAAATTGGAATTGCAGCTACTGAGTACAAATTAATAATAATGTGTTTTAGGGTTTTTATTTTTATATTTTTACATCTTGAGGGGGGGCAAACGGGGGGTGAAAGTTTGTATGGGAGTATATATTTTTTTATTCTCTTTGAAGTTAGGAACATGAAAATTGGAATTGCAGCAAATGCGTACAAATTAATAATGGTGAGTTTTAGGGGTTTTTGGATTTTCCCATTTTAAGGTGGGAAACGGGGATAGGGTGAAAGTTTATTTGGAAATATAGATTTTTTCTAAAAGTTTGAAACATAAAAATTTTAATTACAGCTACTGACTAAAAATCAAAAATGACGTGTTTCATGGTTTTTGGATTTTTGCATTTTAAGGGGGCAAACGGGGGTGAAAATATGTATAGAAGTACACATTTTTGAGCGTTGGAACTTGAAAATTATAATATAAATAATGACGTGCTCTATGGTTTTTAGATTTTTGTATGGTAGTATCATAAAAATTAAAAAAAAAAAAAAATATTAAAAATTAATAATAATTAATAAAAATTAATAAAAATTATTAAAAATTAATAAAAATTATTAAAAATTAATAAAATTTAATAAATAATAAAAATTAATAATAATTAATAAAAATAAATAAAATTGAATAAAAATGAAAAAAAAAATAAATAAAATAAAAAAAAAGGAAGTCATGTATTTTTTTATATTAATAACACTACATGCTAGCAAAGTCGCGGGTAACAGCTAGTGTAGACATAAAGCTACTTGTTAATTGAAATAAACATACTTCAAAAAAATTTTTTCGCGACTAATTATCAATAAATTGTTGATTTTTCTATCAAAAAGTTTTTTAAATGCTTTCAGTTTACGACCCAAAGATCCCAGATAGTTAGGAAACATATTGGTAAAAAAAAAATTGTGAATGCAAATACTTTAGATTTTGTAGCGTTTTGAAATTTAAAATTGATATATTTCAAAATCATTAAATTTGACTTAGCCCGTTTTTCACCTGTGCCCTTCATTTGTATTCATACTTTTAACCGTTATTTATTTTATTGTTAATTAAGGCTGTATAAACTCAAGATTGAAAGTATTTTTTTAATGTGTAACTATTTTTTTTTTGTTTTAGCTCAACTTATGTTAATTATAATTATCTTTACGTTTTAAGTGTGTAACTACTGTATTTGTATTTTTATATAATTTTTTTTTGTATTTTAGGTTTATCCTACTTCAATATTCAATAAAGTATCTATGGTGGTCCTGCATTTACGAAATGTTAGATATGTGCAACTTACTAAAAAAGGAAAAATTTTCAATGAGTTTGTGTCTATAAGAAAACCTTCTGCAGTTGAATAAAGAAATAATTTGCCTTTTATAGAATACTAGCTATTGCCCGCGGCTTTGCTCGCGACTTTGCTCGCATATGGTCGTGTTATTAATATAAAAAAATACATGACTTCCTTTTTTATTAACTTTTATTAGTTTTATTGATTCTCATTCATTTTTTTTATATTTATTCTTTTTTTTTTTTAATTTTTATTCATTTGTATTAATTTTTATTCATGTTTATTAATTTTTATTAATTTTTATTAATTTTTATTAATTTAATTTTTAATTATTTTTATTAATTTTTATTAATCTTCAATAATTTTTACCCCCGTTTTCCCCCCTTAAAATGTGAAAATCCAAAAACCATGAACACTTCATTATTTATTTATGATGAGAACCTACAATTCCAATTTTCAATCAAAAAATCGATATTTCCAAATAAACTTTCACCCCCCGTTTCCCCCCCTTAAAATGTGAAAATCCAAAAACCCTAAAACTCGCCATTATTAATTTGTACTCATTAGCTGCAATTCCAATTTTCATGTTTCTAACTTCAAAGAGAACAAACAAAGTTATACTCCCATACAAACTTTTACCCCCGTTTGCCCCCCTCAAGATGTAAAAATATAAAAACCCTAACACATATTATTATTAATTTGTATTCAGTAGCTGGAATTCCAATTTTCATGTTTTTAACTTTAAAGAGAACCAAAAACATAGATACTCCCAAATAAATTTTTACCCCCCGTTTCCCCCCTTATAACGTGAAATTCCAAAAACCCTGAAACATGTCATTAATAATTTGTAGTCAGTAGCTGCAATTCCAATTTGCATGTTTCTAACTTCATAGAGAACAAAAAAATCGATAGTCCCTTGCAAACTTTTACCCCCCGTTTTCCCCCCTTAAAATGTGAAAATCCAAAAACCCTAAAACTCGTCATTATTAATTTGTACTCATTAGCTGCATTTCCAATTTTCATGTTTCTAACTTCAAAGAGAACAAAAAAGTTATACTCTTATACAAACTTTTACCCCCGTTTGCCCCCCTCAAGATGTAAAAATATAAAAACCCTAAAACACATTATTATTAATTTGTACTCAGTCAGTCAGGACAAACAATTTTATATATATATATATATAGATTTCTGAAACCAGCTATAATATTTTGGGCTTTGAAATATACAAACTTTTTCGATTTAACCAATGTTGTGTTACCAACCGCCTACGAGATAGCAATACATTTCTACTAAAAATTGGCCACCCTGTACACATAAATTAGAAAACCCAAAAATATAGTATCAAGTCTTACCTCTTCTTGTATTTGTTTATGCTTTATCTCTTCTTGCATTTGTTTATGCTTTATCTCTTCTTGCATTTGTTTATGCTTTATCTCTTCTTGCATTTGTTTATGCTTTATCTCTTCTTGCATTTGTTTATGCTTTATCTCTTCTTGTATTTTATGCTTTATCTCTTCTTGCATTAGTTTATGTTTTACCTCTTCTTGTATTTGCTTATGTTTTACCTCCTCTTGTAGCGGTTCCTCTTCTTCTATGGTATTCAAATTTTGGTCACTTTCTTCTGGAACCTTGCCCTTAGATCGACCTTTTCTTTGCTGTATGAACCCGCTAAGAATCGCTAAAGTAGAGGCGTGCTGTCTAGGCGACTTCCTGGGATTCTTTCCTCCACCACTACCTTTAGAAACTGTATTTATGATATACGATACTTTTTGTCGTGTTCCAATTCTGCTTGGTTTGTCGGTGACAGCTTTAAGTTTATCTTCTGTGCTGCTAATAGAGCTGGTTGTTGAAGCGCTAAGTTTGCTGTCTTCGTCATACATTAATAGAGATGGAGAAACGCTCGGTTCTGGAGAGGAACTTCGTGAGTTTGATTCCGAGGAAGGATTTAACAGGCAATTTAGAAGTTCGCGATAATGTGAACAGCAAAATTTTCGATCTAAGGGTTGTATGCTACGCATTTGATAAGGTAATACAAAGGATTCCCATAAATCTGAAAAGAAAATACATTTAATGACAACCGACTTATTAATTCATTATTTAAACAACGACTTACAATTACTAAAAAACGCGTAACTCTGTTCAGTATTATCCAATCTTCTGAAAGCGTTATACCATCCCGTGTTACTTGGAACTTTCTCGAAAGCAAATTTGTAATTGTCCAACTTAACTTTGGAATCGTATTTCACTTTCTTTTCTTCTGGTTCTTCAAGTTTAATGTCATCTTCCACTTTCGTAAGTCGTTCTGGAGACCTCAATACCATTGGTAAGTAAGATCCCTGGTATCTCAACCTGCAATGACTTTGACAGATTAGAATAAGGTGTGTATCAGCAGAAAATTCAAATAAACATTCAAAATAATGTTCATATTTACAGGGATATAGATTACCACTTATTGTAGAGGTCAAAATAAGTCTATTTGACCCAATTTATATACAGGGTGAATCCTAAGTTGATACTTTTTTTAGCTGTATAAAGAAAACTTAAACAATTTTTTCAAAAAACTCAGAAATAAAAAACTTACTATAATTAATTAATTTATTATACAGGAAAACCATCGTAGAAAAAATAATAGTATACAATACAATAGAAAAATATAGTGTCTAGTCAAATATTTACATACTACAATATTACAAACCTATTGAGATCTATTTGTTTTATTTTAAAGAATATAGATTGATAGAAAAATCGATATAAATCATTGGCCTTTCTGACCATTCTTGACAAAGGACTAAAATAGCCATAATTTGCTGATTAAAATAATAAACAAGTCTTTGTTTCTTGTACACCTTTGAGGAATACGGAACTAAACAAGTTGAAGAATGCTGCTGCAATTAGTCAAATTAATTTAAATAATACAACAAGGTCAATATAGCTAATCTAGGAAATTCCTGCAATTCTAAATTCAATGACCTCTGTATATCATAATACTCATATTCCCCTTCTCTTAATCCCAATTTGTGTCCGCAGTATCTTAAAAACTTCTGAACACATACCTTGCTCACTAAATTAAAATTATTCGGATTTCATGATTCCCTCCTAAAACTATTTACATCTTATCTTCAAAGCCGTAAACAGTATGTGTATATAAATGGCTTCAAATCAGTTGAGTATATCGCAAAATCAGGAGTGCCACAGGGTTCGAACCTGGGCCCTTTATTATTTATTAACGATATCACTGACATAATTGATGTTAATTGTATGTTGTATGCCGACGATTTAAAATTGTGTATGACCATTGCTCACAGATCTGACTGCGAACGTCTTCAAGCTAATATTGATAGAGTTAAATACTGGTGTCTGAAAAACAATTTATCGCTTAATGCCGCGAAATGTTTTGTCATGTCATATGGTCTTAGCGCCAATCCTATAATATTTGATTACATCATTACCAACACAATCATCCAAAGACCAACGACTATTACAGATTTAGGTGTTACGTTTGATAGAGAATTATCTTTTGGTCCGCATATAAATACTGTTATATCCGCTGCTTCTCGTCTTTATGGATTTGTTGTACGAGCTAGTCGAGACTTAACCAATCCGTCTACACTCACCACCCTCTACTATGCATTTGTAAGGTCAAAACTTGAGTATGCATCTATAGTTTGGAATCCATTTTATCAAATTCATATTAACAACTTAGAACAAGTCCAAAGACGATTTTTAAAACTGTTAAGTTTCAAAATTGATGGTGTCTACCCTGCGATCGGAACGCCTCATAATTCTCTTTTGCAAATAGCTTGTCAGCTCGCCGTTCTTGTAACTCTGTGCTGTTTTTATTTGAGTTACTGACTGATAAAATTGATGATTCCGCCATATTAGAAAGGATTAACTTTCATGTTCCTCTATTTTCGGCAAGGTCTGCATGCACTTTTTACCTTCCAGTGCCTAGAACAAATGTTTTAAAAAGCTCTCCCATTTATGTAATGTGTGAATGTTCTAACGAAATGTGCAGTAATTTAGACATCTTTAATTGTACTGTAAGTAAAATTAAGAATCATTTTCTCTTATGCTTTATCCTCACGGATTCCATGCACAAAAACTATCAATTGGGCTAAGCCAGCAACATCTGTCGTTTCGTCAATTTGTATTCCAAACCACGGACTTTCTCGTATTGCTAGCACGAGTTGCTCTTTTGTGTTGCTTGCCATGTCATTGATTCTTCGTGAAACTGTGTCATTTGACAATGGTATATTTTTAATACTTTTTGCCTCTTTTTCTCCAAACATGCAAGAAACTATTTCTAATGCAGCAGGGAGAATGAGGTTTTCACCAATGGTGTGGTTTTTCCCAGATTTAGCAATTAGATGGCTAACTTTATACGAAACTTTCAGAGCTTTTTCATTTTTGTCTGCTCCAGAAAAATGTTTTATAGTACTTTTCCTACTATGAAGATCTTTCAAAAGGCGTTTAAAATACTCTAAATCTTTATTTACTAAATTTCCATGTTTACTTTGAAAATGGCGTTTCAAAAGAGAAGGTTTCATAGAGTTTTTGGATAATACTTTTGAACAAACCACGCATTGTGGAGAAGGCTCGTCTGAACTTCCCGTCCAAGTAAATCCAAATTTTTAGTAAGATTCGTCATACTTCCTTTTCTTATTTACACCCTGTGCCACTTTTTCAGGGTTTTTATTTTTACATTCGGACGGACAGTTATTAGAATCAGCCCTACTTATATTTTGAGACGTTGATGGCCCAGGATTTTGGTCAAGATCTTCATGAGATATTTTTTGTTTGAGCCAATTATCCATTCTTAATGTTCACACTAACATTCCCACATCAATCCTAACAGTGTTCACAAACTGATAATCCGATAACAAAAGTCTTAAATTGTTGAGCAGATTTGAAGTTATAATAACAACGAGAACGAAACTGATAAATTAAACAACAGGACAATAGGAAACACTGCACTGACAATGATCTGAGTCAAGGACCCGCTGCCCACACCCCACTCCACTCCACCCGCCGCACTTCTAGTTTGCGTAACTCGAGCACACGGGCGTAGCGAGAATTTAGTATCGGGGCGGGTTCAAGAAAATAAAAGTTCTAAAAGGGCATGAAATAACCGTATTATTCATATGAAAAAATTAAAGAGTAAAAAAAAACAAAAGGTTCATTTGATTACATATGCATAATTAGTAATAAGTTATGCCTCTCGCCTCTCCTTATTTTAATATTATTAATGTTCATATCTTAACATTTCGGGGAGGGTTTGAACCCCCAAAACCCTCCCCCTGGCTACGCCCGTGCTCGAGCACACAAGTATTCAATTAGATTCCATTATAAATTATAATTTTTTGTGATTACAAAAGAGAAATAAAAATGGTTTAATTTTTCATTAACCTTCCCGCGTACCCCCTGAAAATTTTCGCGTACCCCCAAGGGGTACGCGTACCACAGTTTGAGAACCCCTGGTCTATACTATGTCTGGTGAAAATCTGTTGTTAGAAGCTAGTTTTTTAAGTAAGTTAGTTTCTTTTTAAAAGTTAACCCTGGAAGAGGGATGTTGATGAGTATGTGTACACAACAAAAGGGAGGTGACATTTTGTGTTGAAAAGGGTGATTTGAGTTGAATGATATTAAGTGTTCAAATTATGTAGGTTTTCTGTATATCCTTTTTTATTACTTGTGAGCATTAAATTAAATTAAATCCTGTTCTTTAATTAGGTTTCCTGTTGAACGGTGTATTAAATAAATAAATAAATAAATAAATAAATAAATAAATAAATAAATAAATAAATAAATAAATAAGCGAAATATGGACATTGTCCAGATGGGCAATCCATATTTGAGCAGGGATCTGACATAGGCAAAATATACTACTTTGACTGAATTTATCGAAAGAGTTTCTCAGTATAAATCCAAGAGTTTTTAAAGCCTTACAAGTGATCTGATTAATATGTAGGTTAAATGTTAGATTCCCATCGACAATCACTCCTAAGTCTTTTATCTCAGTTACATTATTGAAGGCTGTATCACAAATAGAATAATCAAACATTATTTTGTTGTGTACCCTACCAAATGTATTCGTGTAACATTTAGAAATATTGAGACACAGTTTTTCACAGACCTATTATGGAGAGCTTGCATATCAATTTGAAGAAGACAATCAATTATATTACAAGTAGCAATGTAAAGTTTTAAGTCATCCGCAAAAAGTAGAAACTTGGCATATTTGAAAATACTACCAATGTCATTGATTAATAGTAGAATCAATAAAGGCCCTAAGTGAAAGCCCTGTGGGACTCTAGGAGGCACCACAATGTAGTCTGAAGTGCTGCTGCCAATATTCACTATCTGGATCCTACCAGTTACATAGCTTTTTAGCCATGAAATCAAAGGATAAGGAAAACCTAAATTATTAAGTTTGTATAATAATGGTTTACAGAAGTCAGAATAAATTGAATCCACCTGCAGATTGACACCAAATTGGTAAAGAATATCTTCGATGATCAAATTATTACAATATCAAGAAAGATCAGACAATTCATTTTTTAAAAAGTTTAGGAATAATAGATAGCATCCTAATAGGTCTGTAATTCTGAATACCATTTTTGTTGCCATTTTTACTTTCCTATCTGTATACAGATATAAAGAAAGTATAGGAATCATGATTTTTTTCGACCTCTAGTTTTCGACGGATTTTTACGTTTTGAGGTCCCCTGAATCCGTTTTGACTATTTTCGCGATGATGTCTGTGTGTGTGTCTGTATGTCGCATAACTCATGAACCGATACACAGAAAAACACGAAATTTTAAACTTAAGCTTTATTCCAGCGTCTAATGAACTGATTAGATTTTGGGCAGAGTCGGAACATCTAAGGGGGTACTTTATAGGTGATCATTTTTATATTTTATAGAATATATCTGTTATTTACGTTTGGAGAAGAAAATTCTTCAAATAAAAGTTACTTCTAATATAATTATCTATAATTTTTGTTCTATACAAAATTTTCCTAAAATGGTCCGTATTCGAGAAATTTGACAAAATGTAAAAAAAATAATTTTTTATAAAAATTGTTCAAATAAAAGTTGTTTGTAATATAATTCTCTATAATTTTTATTCTTTACATAATTTCTCTAAAATGGACCGTATTCGAGATATTTGGGAAAATGTGTAAATTTCGAATTTTGAAGAAAACTCAAAAACGGATAAAGAAAAAACATTAAATTTTAAACTTAAGGTTTATTTCGGCCTGACGTGAAATGATTAGATTTTGGACAAAGTCGGAACATCTGGGGGGTACTTTATGGGAGGCCGTTTTTATATTTTATGGAATATATCTGTTATTTAT